GATGCAGAAGCACAAAGCATGAACTTGCCACTATTACAGAGGTGTTAGTTTCATGTTGTGGCTAATGTGGGTGTTAAAATGGCCTCCTGACATTTAAATCCGTCGATTGATGGAAGCACAAACACACCTGCCCTAATCTGCGTTGCATAGCCTGCGTTAACCGTGTCTGTGCAAACTATCAGTCCTCAGGGACACTTTGTGAATCGCTTCATGAGGAATTCAGCAGCAGACAATGTTGGACTCAAGATTCGTGTTCATGCCCGGCTTCCTGTGTGCAAGCTGGAGCCTTTAGATGCGTAAAGGTTATTTGCCCATCCATGCAGAGATGCCCGTGTGTGAAGTCTGCGGTTGCCCAGCATGTCTCTTAATATTTTAGACCTGTTCAGAAACCCTAGTGCTGTTGTGTAACAGGAGCTGGTGGACCTCCTGGCACTCGGAGGCTGATGAGATGAGGTGCTCAGAGGTGGACCCGTGTTCAGCTCGTTAGCAAGTTTACTTAACCTAAAAGGAAGTTGGCATGTCTCAGGTTTGCACAGGTGTACGGGTAAAACATTCTTTTAAAAAGTGTATTTTGGGAGGATTTTGAGGCTTTCTTGTGAAACAGGTGACTGCTGTGACACTGTTTTAGTTAAGTCAGGTTGAGAGCTCTGTTTTTCACTTTGGCATTGAAGAGTTTTACTTGTCGGTGTCAAAACAAGGATAAACACTTGTTAAAATGCACTAAAGAAGCAGCAGGCTGAGCAGTGGTACAGTAATTAACAGAGAAAATGCTACGATGCCTTTCCTCTCAGAAGGCACACAGCTGAAAACTGCAGCTTGTTTGGAAAGGAAGTGAGAATATAAGCACACACACTCCACCGGGCCTTACATAAGCTTAGTGCAGGAACATAGCAGAGGTCTCCATTAGGGTTCTCAGATCAAGGGTGAAGCAAATTGCCAGCTGTTTGACCTTCTAATGTGGTCGTGTAGATCCTGTTTGAAGTGTGATACTACTGAAAACCTGCTTGTCCGTCTTCTGCACTGTGTCTGAATATAGACTGTAAACTGTTTTGTAATGTGTTGGCCTGTTGTTCTGAGGCTGGCGCTGCACAAACAAGCCCTAAAGGCCGACACACGCTCAAAGAACAAGTTGTCTCCTTCACCGCTGCAGGAAACCCAAGACGCGAATACTTTTTAGAGCGATCTGTCGGGCTGTTGTGAAGTAAGAAGTGTTTTCGGTGTGACAAATCAGTAAGTAGGCTACAGAAAAGCTGCTGTTGAGTCCCAGCTAGGACTGGTGTGGAGGTGTAGGGAAAGTCTGTGTGCACAGCCTCCAGCACATCGATTAGTGCCAAGTATGAGCAGTTTTACTGGTGTCAGCTCTGATAACAGGTACAGGTGCATCTTAATGCTGCTCAGAACAGGTCAATGCACAAAATACTGTAAGTTAATCATTTCAGATCACAGTGTTGGTCGGTTATTAAATGAAAAGCAGCTGCCAGATACGTTTTAACGTCACCTGGAAGCTCATGATTATATGTCTGATGTGTTTTTTTAAAGAGATGGTTAAGCCTGTCGCACTGTCATTTAGAGCCAGTCTGATGCAAGTCAGAGGAGTGTGTGACCTTCTGTGCAGGTTTGTGTGTGTTTGTGGTGAACACGTGTGTGGTGTTGTTGTGTGGTGCACACTCTTAGTTAACAGAACCTCCGTGTTTGCAACCTGAAAACAAAGTTTTCTTCAGACACTAGCTGCGTGTCTTTGTTGACGCTTTGTGCTCTGAATAGCGTTAATTACAACCTCCTAAATAAGTCGTTGGTGTGGTACCAGACCGTACAGATATCCATCCACAGTCTGGCACACACGTAGACTGTAGATGAATCACAGTTTAACCGTCACAGTGTGAAAGAAGCTCCAGGTTTGCTGCTGCTGTTACTTTTTAAACTAACTAGGAGGACACTGAGAGTCCTCCACAAGGACTCGGCCCCAGATCACAAGTTTAAAGAACCTTATCTGCTCTGCCCCGTCATTACAATGGATGATTTATTTCAGTTTCATTCATATAGATTCACATCATGTCATCTCTCCATTTTATTTGGCATAATGACACAGGGATGCATTTATTGGGTTTCTGCCTCCAGCAGTGTTGGGTTTTAACCCCAGTGTTTTAATTAGATTTGTGAAACGTATTCTTGATGGGCAGCACTTTGGGAGGGTGTGTGTTGTTTTCCATGTAGACGGTGACTGGCCTTGACTTCACGTGAGCTGGCTGGGTTTCCTCTTTACTCCCAGTTGGTATTATTCATGATTTACAGTTTGGCATCTCTGTGATGGATCAGTAAATCAGCCACATACGACTCGGTTGTAAAACCAGCAGCAGCAGCCTCCGTGCATCTCTGATTACCGGTGGTCACGCCGTGGTCCAAAGTCCCGTGTCAGCGCGCCGTCGCCATGGTGACCCGCGGTACACAGGCAGATTGTTAAACGGGGGGACGAGGCCGACTCGAGAACCGCCGGCCGTGACCAACAGATTAATGCTGCCCCACAGGTAGATTTTTATGAGCTGACATTTAGTTTTTAGTCACTAATCCCGGGTTGGATGAAAATGAATGTGTTTTGGTTTCAGGGTACTTTTGGTAGCCGGGAATCGGACCCACTGAGGCTCATTTACCGGAGAAGCTGACTCATGTCATCGCTTACAGGCTGCTGCTGACATTTAGATCATTTTGAAGCAAAATAGTTCCTCCCTGAGTCAAAGAGGTGTCTCCCAATGCAGTACTTAAACCACAGCGGAGTGTGTGACGCTGCTGGCTGCTCGGTGCACGGTGGACTGATTATAGTAATGGCGTCCTATCGTCCCAAAAAAAGCTGCAAGTCAACTACACTTGATGCACTCTCTGCTTCCTGAGCACTGACGAGAGCTGGAGGGAGAGCACCACTTCATTGCTGTTTTAAAATAGCTGAAACGGTTTCCTGTACCTTTGGCATACTTCTGAAGTTCTCTTGCTTGTTTATACACTTTGTGTTTTTGCAGAAGTTTGGATGCATTCATTGGGAAAGCCCTCCAGGACTCCTGGGAAGAGGCTTGAAACACTTCCAGAGCTTTTGTGTGCCTTGCTGTTGGCGCTAACCCGCAGAGAATCTGAGAATTGATTAAAATCTTAATGAAATCAAACAAAACGTACCATTTGAAGAGACGTTATGCAATCTATGCATTCATTATTTAATAGTAAATACAGGTGATGAAATTAAATGCATGCTGTGTTGAGTAACAGTGTTCTCATCCTTAACATGAATCATTGATTTGCTAGAGGCAGTAACGCGTGGAGGTTGGCTCACTGTGTGGAGTGCAGTAGCTGCAAGAACGTGTAATGATTTTTTAAAATTGCGAGTTAATGATGATATAAATGTGTCTCCCTATTCCCGAAGGCTGATGAAGGAGCTGTGCATCATTAATGTGGTGGTAGCACCGTCTTTGACATGTTAAATTATTGATTCAGCATTTACATTTGATTTTTGAGCCTGATTGTGGTGGCATTAAGCAGCACTTTGAAGTCATTACCACCTGGAGTGCAACACACAGGCTTCCTAACACTGTGAAAAACTATAGAGTTTGGTTTTAATAGTTCACAGCTTTGGATGCGTTTGGATAAAAGAGTTTAGAAATGAATCGTGCTTCCAAACTTTTGCCCTTGTTCTGTTTTTGAAAAGGTAAAATCCTGAACTTCTAAAACTAGACTGGCTGTACAAGCAATGCCTTCTTCTTGGCATTTGAAGCAGACAGCCAGCGCAACCAAAGTGTTAACCACCATGTAGGTCACACTGAGCTTTTATCATCGAATGCAAGGCAAGAAGTGTGGCCTACGACTGATCGACTGATATTCACTCCTACACAGAGTCTGTACAACATTCTGATAGCTGCACCAACCCAGACGTCTGCAACCAAATTAGTCTGAAAAGCATCATTGAATGTGTCATAGTTAATGGGGATGTCCCTGTCAAGTTGTTTTTTTGTCCCCGATCAGATAATACAGAATAGTTCAATGTTAATAATATGGATCCAGTGTGTATGCACTGTGTGACATCTAGCGTGGGGAGTGTGGGGTGTCCCGTGGCTCCACACGCTCCAAAGATATGTATTTGCTACTTGCATGTCAGACAATGTATTGCAAAATAACTGTAGTACCTGTTTGGGCCTGCAGGTGGAGCCTCTTACTGTTTTATACTGTAGCAAGCAGAGAGCATTGTGGGGGTTTAGCTAACAACAGGCAGCATGACAACGACTTCTGTGATGCTAACTGACCTGAGTTCAGAGTGTTTCAGCCCATTGCAAACGTCCCGTGTGTTCGGCTCGTGTTATCAGTTGATTATTGATTGATAATGCTACCGATTATTATTTAAGAACCTTTTTCAAAATCGTCCTAACACAAATTTTGCTCTCTTTTTGCGACACCTGCGTAACAGCGGATGTAAACAGTCGAGCATGAGTTTGTGTCGGTACTGATCAGTGAGGTAATGCTTTAATAGACAAAAAAACTAAATATTCACCTTGTCTGAGCATGAAGGAGTAATGCACTGATGTTTGACTATCACCTCATTACTTAACAGCCACATGTCGTACATTTTGCAGCACGTCTTACTTTATATGAACTAAAAATATATCGCGAAGCCAATTCCAGTGTTTGTGTTTCCAGTCACAGGTAGATATTTTCTCCAACTTGTTCAGACATTGTGAGGACCCACACACACAGATGCATCTATCAGCTGTGTGGTAGTCTGATGGTCATTTATCAGAGCGACTGCTTCACAAAAACCTCCATCAGTCTGTGAAAGCTGTGAGCGTGAGGAACAGTCTCTCTGATAAATTATTGTCTTGAATGTTGCACCTCGGCGCTCTCCTATCTGATGGTGAAATCATTAACATTCGGCCCCGCAAAGACGCTTCGCTTCTGTTCCTTTCAGATAAATGCAAAGTCTCGGCACACCTATTAATTCCCGCATTTCTTTTTCTCCCCGTTTGCAGACGTTCCCCCCGCGGAGCAGGAGAAGCTGTTCATCCAGAAGCTGCGTCAGTGCTGCGTCCTATTCGATTTTGTCTCCGACCCGCTGAGTGACCTGAAATGGAAGGAGGTGAAACGGGCAGCGCTGAGCGAGATGGTGGAGTACATCACCCACAACAGGAACGTCATCACCGAGCCCATCTACCCGGAGGTGGTCCACATGGTCAGTGTTAAGCCAGAGTCACTCACATCTAACATGCCTCAGGCCTGGCAGAAAAGAAATCAGCGTTTTGTGTCACAGTGTTGTGATTAATGTCAACGCAGGTGAAGCAACAGGTTTGTGTCTGTGTTTCAGTTTCACATCTCAGCGCTGGAATTTGCTTCAGTATTAGAAAGAGGACGCTCGGCTTATCTTTAGAAATGTGAACTCGATCTTGGTTTTTTTCTGTTTAGTGATTTCACAGCGACAAATATAAAGTGTTAAAAACTGATTTGTGACTCACAATTACAAAAGCTGTCACATAACTGTACTACAAGAATCATAATGTTCATAAAACTCAGTTTACTGAAATCTGAAGTTCTGCATTAGGAACATTCATCACATGGTCAGTGTTTCCCACAAGTGAACACCTTTTTACACTGACTGTACTGATGTGTCTAACTTTTTTAAAATTTAAATCTCTTGCCAGGTCATAATTTAGGTGCAGCCAAATCTTCAGTCTGAACAATACATTTTGTTGGCAGTTCACGTACACATTAGTACGTCAGTGATTGTAAACGGGAATAAAGGTGCAGGATCAGGATTATCCAGGATTTAAATTTAGTCAGAGATGCGTCTGTCACGGCACAGGAAAGTCGACGCTCTTTCAGTAAAACCTCTCTTCTGAGCTGCTCTTTGGTTGCACTCTTTGCAGTAAATGCATTGTGTTGTCATACCTCAGTGTTTCCCACAGTTTGAGAGCTGACTGGTGCATGCAGAGATGTGTAGCCCTGGTTGGTTTCTGAAGCTCCAGTTTGCTAGTTGAGTGTGCACAGAGAAGCTTTTAGTCTCCATCAGTTGCTGCAGCAGCTCAGACAGGTGTTTGACCAAAAACTTGTCCCATTAAAATGAGGCGTTTTAATGTCACATTTACCCACTGAGTGATTTAATTTAGCGGGCCGGGTCGCCCAGACACACAGGCAGACCTGCTAAATGTCAGGCTCACCGGTGCGACTAATGAAAATGTTTAGACTTTGCACTTGACAGATTTTTGGTTGGAGCCCTTTGATGGATAACCCTAACTAGTGGCTTCACTCTGCAGCTGCTGTACGCCAGTTTTCCATCAAACTTATTAGGTTATATAAAACACTGGGCCTCCCTGTTGGCTGTGTGTCTCTGATAAGTGCGGCGGTTCAGGAGGTTGGTTGGTTTTTAAAATGCTCTCTTCAATTAATGGCTGAATGTTCATGAGCTGTGGTGTGTCACCGAGGTGAGGATTTTCTCTCATTGTCTGTAGAGTTCTGTGAGCTGTACCTGTGAAAAAGCCTCCGCTGAACGCTGCTGACCTTGAAGAGCCTTCTGACTCATTAGATTGTCGCTGCTGCTTTTCTTATTCCATTAACCTCAGTGGGATGTCTATTTAAAAGGGTACGTCTTATTCTTTATCGTGGGCTTTTTTTTCCTGCAGCGTGGGATGAGAAATGCTGTGGTTTCTGCTGTCAGAGATATTTACTGGTTTCAGAGTTTGTATTTTTTGGTTCTCATAGGAAACTCTACACGAGCGTCTCTCCCCCTCAGTTTGAACCCAAAGCTCTGTGTCGCATTAACCCGCTGCATCTGTTTAAAACCTTTAAATCATTGGTGAACCATTAAGTGATCCATTTGTGTTTCCGTGGCTGATCTGTGCTGTCGGTTTGCGACTCCTGAGCTGTTTGTACCTGTGCGGCTCTGAACTCGTCCGGCTGCTACTGTACGTCCACTGGAAACGTGCTCCTCTCAGGTCGTGATCTCGGATGCGTTTTGCGGTGCCAGATTTGCTTTCCCAAGCCAAATTAAAAAGCCTTTGATGTTAATCAAAGCCCTGCCTCAATGCCACATGGTCAACTGCAGATGATCAAGGTGCAAATTTCCCCCCGCCGTCCTTCTTGTCGAGGCTTTATTTGATCAGCGCGGCAGAAAATGCAACCGAGCTGCCAAATCAGCATAAAAATATACTCTTATTCCTGGCAGCCCCCTCTCGCCTGCCCCCTCCAAGACAAGGGCTCTTTGAAGCTCACTGATGGCTTTCATCATCAAAGTACGGAGAGTGCCACGACAAACTCCTTTATGGCAGTAAAGAGTGTATTCTTATGCTAACACTGTGCGCATTATTTTGTCCCAGAAGCCCCCAGTGCTGAAGCTCCGGAGCTGTATTTTAGCAGACCTTTGGATGACACCACAGTAGTTGTTCCATTAGTCCCGTCCTCAGGGGGGACGTAAGAAAGGCCTTCTGCTAAGAATACAAACACGATGGTGAGCGCGTCTTGACCTCTGGTTCGGCTGCGCTCTCCAGGGACTCTCTAAATGCACTGGCTAGAAAGTGAGAACGGACTTGGAGGGAAAAGGACGGATGCTTCCCGGTTTTGGGGGATTGCACTTCCACTGAAACAGCCTCTTATCTCAGAGCAGCACAAGACAGAATGTCCAGCATCTATTTTTCATTCATTCTTCCTCATAAAGAAAACATTCGACATTTTGGATGCAGGTTTGGATTTCTCACGATTTGTCTGTCGAGGCCGTTTTGGACAGTAAGAGGATCGGACAGCTACCAAATTCCTAAAAAAGCAAAATAACATTTGATGAGAATCCGTTTAGAGGATCACAGAGTAAATAGCTGCCGTATCCCATGATTTCAGTTCATGTATGCGTGACAAACCCTAACCCGACAGCCTGCTGGTTAGTAATGGTACGATTGTGGGTTAAGTGTCTAGTTTGCTTTTCAAACACTGCGGCTGAAGTGTTTCCGATTTCTTCCATCGTGTTCATTGTTTCAGGTGTCAGATGTGTTGGAGAAGCAAACATTCAATCCCTGGTAGCACATAGAGCAGACAAACAGCCAGACTTTAAGGTTACACGGCACAGAGTGCAGCTAAATGCAAGATGAAAGGTAAATGTAGATCAGCGTGCATTTACTAAAACACATGTTGGTATTACAGAAGATAAGCCTCCAGTGTGTGCATTCAACTTCTCTTTATTCTAAGGCTCAAAATCGTACCTGCTCATCGACCAATCAGTTGATTTGCTGGGAAAAAACAATCTGCATGTTCTGAAATGTTCCACCTGCAGCCTTATGATAAATACATTAAAACAGTTCTTAGTATTTGTGGTATATTAAACCATTTTAACCTGCTTATTTAAAACTAAAACGATTAGAACGGACCGAGAGCAAACCAGCTGCACATATTCATAGGATTTCCTCAAATAGGAACATATCAGCAGCACAAGAACTAGTGAGGAACACACAAGTTACAGATCCATCAACCTGTATGGGAATAAAGCCCTCCGTACCTTAAACACATAAACTCATAATGCATTGAGGTATGGAGGGCTTCTTTCCCATATGAGTACACAAATATGAAACTTGGATAACAATGGCAATAAAAATATGAGGTGGAGAAGTTAGTAAAGTTAAAGAAAAAAAAGCATTTAAGATGTAAAACTTAAAGGTATCATTTAAAGCAAGAACAGCTGGAAGTAAAATAAGATTGAATTAAAAACCTGAACTGCCCGAAGGATCATCATGAGTCGGTGCAAAGAGAGTAACAGAGCAGCAAACGTCATACGGTCCCGTCATGTGAGTTTAGTCAGAGCCAGCATGTTCAAGGACAGCAGTGAAGTAACGTCAGGGGGTAAAAACAGACTTAGTTTCTGGTTTTTCATCTGTTGTTGAGCTGTGATATACAAACCTGCAAGCTTACAATCAGCTTGTTGGACATAAAACGCAGCCACAGCGACGACTTCTTGACTCGGATCCGTTAGTTTGGAGCCAGTTCCTCGTAAATGTTCAGTAAATGTTCAATAAGCTGGACCTGCATTAGGATGAGACAGTTCAAGGTTGTGACAACGTCTGTGTGTTTGTCTTGCCATCAAAACAATGGATTAATCCTGGAGTGTAGCAGCTCCTTATTGAAAATGACACCTGAGATCGTCCGACTGATGAGAGTTTGTTGGGAGCATATCCACCAACCAGTCGAGCAGTTCACCTGGACAGACGCTGCAGCAGACGGTCCTGCTCGCTCAGGACACGAACATCATGGTTTCTCCAGCACTTAGAGGAGGAAGGCAGCAGCTGCCAGACTGGGGTTTGACACACTGTTGTAGTCCAGCAGCTCCACTGTCATAGTTCTGTTTGTATAGTCAACAGATTGATCCTGTAATTCTGATACGATAAGCCTTCATTAATCCCACAGCGGGGACATTTTTAGAAATGATAGGAAGGAAGCCACTCATTCTGGGAGTCATTGATCACCATGTTGGCAGCTGGAGAAGCAGAAACATGACGATGAGTGAAACCAGAACAAGAGTCGCTGTCTCACCTCCGACTGGTTCAGAACGCAGCATCGAGACTCTACCTGGGCTTAGCAGTTGGTTTTAAAATGGACATTAAGGTTCTCCTGATCATTTTTATCTGGGTCTGGCCTCAGGCTACCGGGCAGAACATTGGACCCCATGTGAGCAGAAGCTTAACCGTAAAGATGCTTTTGCCGTTGGAGTCCTTTGGCTTTGGAGCAGCCTGCCTGAGGAGATGAGACGTCCTCTAAATCACATCTAAAAACCCATTTTTCTAGACTTCCTTAAGGTTCTTATTTTGTTTGTATGACCTTGTGTTGTTGTGACTTTTGTCTTTGCACTTTATCCTAGCTTCAGTCTGTGTGTTTGACCTTATTGTCTGACTTCCTGTTGTTATTTTGCTCTGTGGGTTTCCTGCCTTTGCTGCGTCTGTCTTTGCAAACCCTGTTTTAGAGTTTCTGTATCGATAGGAATTGCTCGTCTTACCTGAAACTCTTTGGGCTAAGCGGTCCTTCTGCTCTCTGTCTGTTCTTCAGTTTGCTGTGAATATGTTCAGAACGCTGCCGCCGTCGTCCAACCCCACCGGTGCCGAGTTCGACCCAGAGGAAGACGAGCCCACGCTAGAGGCTGCGTGGCCACATCTACAGGTACACGAGTACAGCGGCACGCAGAAACACATCCTGTTTTTTCACTCTGACCTGATGAGAATCAATAAACGAGTCTTTAAACTTGAGCTTTTCTCCTGCAGCTCGTCTATGAGTTCTTCCTACGGTTCCTAGAGTCCCCGGACTTCCAACCAAACATAGCCAAAAAGTATATTGACCAGAAGTTTGTAATGCAGGTGAGCAGTTTCTTTGGCTTTCTAGATCGTTTTCATGTCGTCCTGGTGTCTCACTAACCTCCTCTGTTTTTTTTTTGTTGCTCTCAGCTCTTAGAGCTGTTCGACAGTGAAGACCCCAGGGAAAGAGATTTTTTAAAGACCACTCTGCATCGCATTTACGGCAAGTTCCTGGGCCTGCGAGCGTACATTAGGAAGCAGATTAATAACATATTTTATAGGTGAGTGTGTGTTTCGATCTATTCGCGGCACTCGTGTTAAATGGGTCACCAGGAGGAACCCACATTTGTGATTGTTGTTTTTTTTTCTTTTTCAGGTTCATTTATGAGACCGAGCATCATAACGGAATAGCAGAATTACTGGAAATACTCGGCAGGTACGATGCTGTGGTGACAGGCTGTGGTTCACACATTAGTTTTGCTTTTGTTTCCTCTCTGTCAGCAGTTTTTCAGTGAAGTTAGAGCTGCTTGTTTGCACTTGTACACAGTTGTTCCTCTAACGAGCTCCTTTCTTCTTACAGCATAATCAATGGATTCGCATTACCGTTGAAGGAAGAGCACAAGATATTCCTGCTGAAAGTCCTGCTGCCTTTACACAAAGTCAAGTCTCTTAGCGTTTATCACCCACAGGTTTGTCTTTAGACTGTAAACAAGACTTCATAACGAGGGATGCACTGGTACCGCCGTTGGTCTGACTTGTGCTTACGTCTGGATGCTTAATAACACCGAACACATCGAACCACCACAGTTCTGACAGCGAGGTGTTACTTCATCAGATGCACCTGCGACGGCTTGTCGAGAGGACAAACTGCAGAAACTCGCATTTGCATGTGGACTTCAATCCCCATCAATCCGCTAAGCTGTTAAAGTGACGCCGCTTTTCTACGTCTGAGTCGTGAAGCCCAAGACCGAAATGTCCTCAATTAGGACAAAGCTGCTGACGCTCACAGAGTCGGGCAGCTTTGTTTGCATTTGAATCGAGCTGAATCAAGCAGCCATTAGTGAACTGGTTATTGCACGTTTATTGCATTAGTTTGATTTTTAAACATGCATTCTTTGGGCGGATTCGTGTTTCATGGCTGAGAAACGTTTGACATGGAGGCTAGTGTTGGTAACACATTGCCCAGAAACACAAAACTACAGGTAATGATAAGGCTTTATTCCTCTGAGCTCCAACACTTTCTGGGTGTTTCTTGCTCCCGACACGTTGCAGGCTCATTTTTCTCTGCAGTATGAAGTCCATCAACCACGACTAGAAGGAGACAGAACTCAGAAATGTCCTGTGTGCAGCGTAACGTCGTTAAAATGCCAAATGTCATTAAGAAAAACAAAACTAAAATTGAATTTCTTTGATTATTGAGTCTCACAAAAAACGAAGAAGCCTGAAGTTAACTCGTGCAGCATGTTTCCACGTGTCCACAGGTGTCACCAACACTGGAGGAACATGACTCCATATGGCAATGAATGAGGCAGGTAGACGAAGGAACACGAATAAAATACTATCATTTGAAGCTTAAGGTTTACTTCCACAGTTGCAGATCACAGATAAGAGTACTTCAAGGAAACTCCAGCAATTCTTTGTGTTTTGACAGTTTCTGGCTCTGATGAATGGTGGAATTTTGTCATAAAAAAAAAAGTGAACACATCTTTAAACAAGTAGTTTTTGGTTTTCAGAGGGTTGAAAGACAAATATAAGTGCATGCACACAGGGAGCTGGAGCAACCTCAGCAAAAGCAGGAATGATTCTGAGTGTGTCAAACGGACACTGAACGTTTTATGATCATTTAGTGGCCGTGGCTTGACAAAGTGCTGCCGGTGAGCTTCTCGTCCTTGTTCAGTTCACAGAGACTGTAGGAGTCGACCTTACAGCCATCAGTCACCAGCCGCCCGTGAAAACAGACGCTCAGCTGCTGCGTCGATGGTCTCGCTCGACCCTCAGGAAGTCCATAAAGTTCTTAGCGGCCCAGTCTGTCACTTTCCCTGTCCTTAAACCAGAGCGTTGTGTGGGCACCAAGCCCAGCGAGCCCCACCCGGGCCGGTCCGAGCTGCCGGGCACGACGACGTCTCTGAAACAGACCCTGAGTTCGCAGGTCGGATTCTTTAGCCAAACTTTGGAAATACCTGCCAGCATGTAGTTAGCGTCCAGTACCTGCTGGGATCAGCTGTGAAAACGTGTTTTGACTTTCTGTGGAGCTGCGATCAAGACCGTCTGTCATCTGGTCGACTACTGAGGACAGCTCAGCTCGTGGTAACAGTTTGGAAACTCATACCTGGGCTCCAGTACGTAGAGAAGATGATGAAGTTTCCATGTTAGCTAGAACGGACACTGACTGGTCATCCAGAGGTTCTGTCTTTTATACAGACTGTGGTTCGTCTCTAGCGTTTGAAAGCATCAGCAAGCTCATTAAACTTTGTTCTGTGTTGGTTTTGCACAGTTTTTAAATCAAATTACTTGTATTAAAGAAGCTCTTTGTCACTTCTATTGACAGTAAGTTAACAATTCAGACTTTGCTGCTCCTCCACCGTCCTGCTGGGCGTCAGAGCAGCTTTACAAACATATGTGTACATAACATAACAAACATATGTAGGTACTGGACTGACGCTCTACACTGGTTCTGGTATCAGTGCATCCCTGATTATAACATCCACGTTGATGATGTTGGAGGTAATAACATGTTGTGTGTGTCTTTGCTCTCAGCTGGCCTACTGTGTGGTACAGTTCTTAGAGAAGGATAGCACCCTCACAGAGCCGGTAAGATTTCATCTGCTAATATTGTTTTGCCGTTTGTGTTGCTGATTGAATTAGCCCTGAATATCCTGTCTGCCTGAGATGACTTAAATCCAATAAAAAACCCAAGAAGTCTGCTTCTAAAGTTCATGTTTTAGTATTTAATTAGGCGCCTTCAAACAGAACATTGGATTAATCATCAGAAATATGTGGAGCACTTGTCCTATTATACAACAGCGTGTATTACTTTACCAATGCACGGCCAGTCACTTCAATGAAAAGAAAAAAAATGCTCAAAACAGGACAAAACAAGTTGCAGGAAATTTGCTAGCTGGAAAACAAGCTTTATCAGATTTCAGCTGGTTCAAATAAACATGTTGGGAATTGTTTGACGTAAATCTAATAGAAAAAAAAAGGAGCTATTTTATGTGCCGTGTGTCTCTCAGTCTAATGTTTGTTCTTTGTCACTGATCCTTTAATGAATCCGGCGTGTTCTTGTGTCTGCAGACAGTCATGGCTTTGTTGAAGTACTGGCCAAAGACCCACAGTCCAAAAGAGGTGATGTTCCTCAACGAGCTGGAGGAGATTCTGGACGTCATCGAGCCCTCGGAGTTTGTCAAAGTCATGGAGCCGCTCTTCAGGCAGCTGGCCAAGTGTGTGTCGAGCCCACACTTTCAGGTGTGTGTGTTTCAGCGTGCAGAGGTGTGTGTTTTGTGGTTTTGTTGTGTATGTGCTTGCATGTAACCGTGCTACAAATCTGTGCTGTCAGGTGGCAGAGCGAGCGCTGTACTACTGGAACAATGAATACATCATGAGCCTGATCAGCGACAACGCTGCCAAGATCCTGCCCATCATGTTTCCGGCACTTTACCGCAACTCCAAGACCCACTGGAACAAGTGAGTGTCTGCACAGGCCTCCTCTGTGGCCGCTTCTCATGGTGGTTGGCCACGATGTTGTAGAGCTGAGTGACCCGCCGTAACTGTTCTGTGTGTGTGCAGGACAATCCACGGGTTGATCTACAACGCCCTGAAACTGTTCATGGAGATGAACCAGAAGCTGTTTGATGACTGCACTCAGCAGTTCAGGGCGGAGAAAAGCAAGTAAGTCATCGTGTGAGCAGAAAATATCAGTGACATGTCCATATTCCAGATGGAAGACACGAGTGATGCCTCGTAGCTTTGTGATGTCAGCGTGTGTTTGAGGTGATTTCTATCTGCTTTGTTTGCGTCTCAGAGAGAAAGCCAAATGGAAAGAGAGAGAAGAAGCTTGGCTGAAGATTGAGAATCTCGCAAAGTCGAACCCACAGGTGAGCAGAGACAGTGTACCCAGCACAGCCAGGAGTTCTCACTGGTTGAAGACTTGAATCAGTAAATAAATAAAATGTGCGTCATGGTTTTAAGTTTCTGTGACCGCCCACCAGTGGTGTGACCAGTTGAACTGTGGAGCTGGATAAGTTTGTGTGCATGAAGAAAAAATGTGAAAACTAAAACCTTCCTAAAGTAGACTAAAGATTTAAAGTCAATGCAGCATTCGGCGCCTTTCAGTTTGAACAAACACACCTCGAGTTTGATGAAGGACTTCATTCAAATCAGTATATCGTGGACTCACAAGTTCACAGGAAGCGAGCTCAGGCCGGTATTAGCCATGTGTTAGGCTGCATCTTTCCTCGTCTTGCTGGATGTCTTTTCCGTGGAGTCGACCACTTTAGCAGGACAGGAGCACAGGAAGTAACGGCAGCATCTGGCAAAAAAGACGATCGACTAAATCCAGAGAACAGTTCAGCAGATGAACCGAGGAGACGCAGGCTGAGATGTTTATGGTGGGCTTGTCCTGGAGGGATGCAGAGTTTTTGTGCTCACTTTTATGGCACATTACATTTGACGTGTCCGTGTTTTATGTCAGTCGGTGTATTTCATTAGACCGAGACTCCAACGGCGGCTTAACTGCCACAAGTTCATACTTTGCCAGCTTTTGTAGGGAAACAGAGACGGTGGTTCATAACCTTTCCTTCTCCTCTTCCTGTGCAGTTTCTGACGTACGTTGACTCGATAGGATCAGGCAGTCCGATGGACATGGAGACAGACGGGCCGCTGCTAGACGATGTTAACTTGCTAAAGAAAACCGTAGCGGAGGAAGCCACACAGGTCAGTGTAGCAGGGAGATGTTTGAAACAACCAGACTCAGAGGTTTAGGTTTGATGTGGGCAGCAGAAACCGTTCACATGGTAGCAGTCACTACCAAACACTGCCACTGATGGATGAGGACATACAAGGAATTAGTCTGACTTTATCTACATGAAACTGGAAATCATTGTGGTTTAATTTGTTTTACAAGCTTTTTATATTTGCACAGAAACGATATGATGTTTTAGAAATCCTTTGGCCTGAATGTGAAGCATTCCTGGACTGTCTGGGGTCAAAACGCAGGAATGCTTTGAGCTAATGTGCAAATATTAGTGTCATTGTTTCTGTGTATCAGTGAAGATGAGCAGATCATCAGGTCACCAAATGAGAACGAGCTGTGTTCATAGTCAGTTGTTTTATGAAGCAAAGGGAAGCTATGAGTAGATGAACTATATTTAGTTGTTAGTGTGTGTATGTGCACATGTATGTTGGTCTGAATAACAGAAAGCTTCATGACTACCCAGCAGCCTGAGATCATTGTGTAGCTCGCTCAGATATTTGAGGTGACTTTGGGTGATGTTACTGACCAGGAGAAGAGCTCGTCACTCCGTCCTGTACGTAGTTTCCTCTGTTACGGCCATTATTCAAACTATTCACACAGACATGGCTTCAATGATTCACAAATGATCATCCCAGCTGCCTTCCAAGTCCACAAGAACTGAAAAAGTAGTTTGTTTTGCCTTGAACGAATGTGTTTGCATGAGTCCGGACTCAACATTTACATTTTTTATTCTGTCCATCGTTGCTCTTCATGTGCAGTTTGTGACAGCAGTGTGTGTGATCCGAGTGCCTGAACACACAGATGTTTAGAGGTGTCCAGACTTGGACGTGTCATGCAGCCTTCTGTTCTCCTTCCCCGTCCAGATCCAAAAAGATCAGCGCCGAGAACGCCCGCTGATGAGGAGGAAATCGGAGCTGCCCAAAGACATCTCCACTGTCACGGCCTTGGAGCTGCACCGGAGAGCCGAGGAGATGTTGACGACGCACGACGGCCACTAGGAGACCGCGCCAGATCCACCGTAAAACCAGCAGCATCCACAGAGGAACCACAGGCCCGCCGAAGGCCCAGCACAACCACAGAACTCTGGTATCTCAGTCCAGCCCAGCACAACCACAGAACTGGATGGTCCCAGCTCCACCTGACACACAAAATGTCTACAGCCACACAACTGAAGCCTGGTTTGGGCTTTTCGGGGAGAAGCGGTGCTCGGTCCTTACTGATCCCCGCCTCCCTCCACCTTACCCCGGTTCCGGTCCAGCAGAGGCGGCGCTGGACGGTCCCGCGTGACCACGACATGCACCGCTCCCTGAACTTCACCAGAGATCCCGTCTTGTCGTTTTCTCCTCCCCCCCTCCAGTTTTTCCTCCTCTGTCCTGTCAGTTTGTGTTTCGGCGGCGCTCTGCTGCCCCCTTCTGGTCATGTTTCTCAGGTGTTCTGTTCTGCGTGTTGAGCTGTCGTCTCTTCTCGCCTCTTCTTTATAGATGTCAGGTGCTTGTACAAACAATATGAGGCCCCGCCCCCAAACACCACCGAGGACTCAAAACAAAAGCAGAAGGCGTCCGTTGGTGAGGCGGCTCCAGTCGTTTCTATAGATTTAGTATTTTTCTCATGACATTTAAACGAGACGGCTGTTTATATTTTTCCCTTCATCGTAGATCAGGCGCTCTTCTCAGAGTTAAAAACAAAACAAGAAAAACAGCTTCCTGTCTGTGTGACTGTTCTGTTGCTCGCTATTATTTCACTTTCCATCAGCCGTGAAGCTTCAGTTCTGTTTATGAGGACAGAACCAGCAGAGGAGGCAAAGCAGAGCCCGACCGATACTGGACTCGTGAGGCCGCTTCAGTACTGACACGACGTGTTCTTTAGTTATATCCAAACATATATACACAAAGAGTCTGTGAGATGATGTTTAAATGGCCGGTGTGGTGGACTTTCCATAAAGTCGCTGTTTGACTCGGCACCGCTCTGCTCAGCTACATGCGCTGCAGACAGTGAGCTGGACATGATAATGATAAACTAGTAGTCACATGAGGAAAGATTTACTAGAAACTGCAAAATACCACAAAAAACCGGCTCCAATATCACAAATGTTTACACTGACAGGAGGCGGCTCCTGACTCTTCAGAGGACGACGTCTTTGTCGGGTTGGTTTTGGTTTCTTTCGTGTCAGACTTGAGAGAATAGTTACGACTTTCCTGAACACTCCTCAGTTTTTCTCTCAGATGAACAAATCGTTCTGTCTTTACGTTTTTTTTTTAGCAGTTGGATAACAGCTTGTTTTGCTGCTTGTTCAACTCTGTGCAGCCTTCAGCGCCACCTTCTGGCGACACGAGGCAGCCCAGTTTATTTGTGCCAGAAAGCTGAATGGAAACAAACCGAATTCTCATTTTTTTATTTGTATTTTTGTTCCCAACCTTTCAAAAGTTTCTGATTCTATATTATCTACTGAGAGCATTTCTGTATTCCCACGAGGATGCTGTTCTGCAGGATGCTCTGTTTTCACAGACCGGTGTCGGTGGGGCTCTGACTACAAGCATTAAAACACAGTTCTGGTCATCAAACAGAAGTGGCCTGACTGAGGTCCAGGTTCCAGATGTTCCATCCTGTGAAGACGTGTGGTGCCAACATCTCTCCTTCATTTAGCTCCTTTCTTAAAAAAAGAAAAAAGAAGCTCTTTTTAAATGTGTAGGCAATAAGTCAGCACAGATACCAGTTCAGATCCGGTCAAGGCCCGGTCTGCTGCGCCGGTTACATGAGAGGGGGATTGTGGGATTTATTTTTAGTCGCCTGTTTGCGTCCAGCCGTCGTAGGAGCGCGTCTAACGTGGTCATTAGCATTCAGCACAAATCGCTGCCATTCATGTGAGGCTTACGAGAGTTTAGAGAGACGTCTGGGATCCACGCAGCGGTACCGTGAGTCCAAACACGGGCCCGTCCATCGAGGACTTCCTGCTCTGCTCAAGCAAGCGAGACCCTTTTGTTTGTGAAACACTTGGTAGAGAGTAGATTGCTTCATAGAGGAGCTATGTTTGGTTTGAAGAGGTCAAACATGAGCCTTTCTTTTCACAGTGCCTTTTGTAGTCTAAAGGGGACGTTTGCTCAGCTGAGAATCGAGCAGCAGCGCGAAAGAAGAAAAAACGCCGGATAGTTAGAAAAGACGAAGACGCGTTCAGGTGCAGCCGCTCGGACACATGCCTTGTTGTTGTCGGTAGAGCTGGAGGCAGCGTGCTCGCCCCAAACCACTTCAGCGATGAAGCACTTCCTGATAAAACTTGAAAGAAAAATAGAAACACAACTGAAAAAAAGAAAACAACAACAAACTAGTAAAAGAATTGAAATCCGTGATGCTGTCTGTCTGGGTGTGTGTGTCGGTGGAGGCGTGTCACCTCCATTTAAAGCCCCGCTGTCCCATTCCACTTCTTCTTTCTTTTCTCTGATTGTACCATTGTTTGGCCCCTCTGACCTGCACACCTGCTTCGGTTAAAGGTGGAGTCTGCGATGCTAGCCCCAAACATCTCCTCAGTCTTCTCTGTGAAGGCTGAAAACAGTAAAGCTTGGGGGGGAGATGCTTGTTTGTGTGACGGTAAATTCTACCTAATTGCAGACTCCTCCTGCCTCGGTTCTGTTCGATCTGCTTCTGGATGCTTGCAGAGTTCTGTTTGTCGTGGTTTTCGTTCTCCCCCGTTTTGCCTGCAGAACTCTTTGTCAGTGTTTCAACTGAATGTGCAAACTGTAAATAAGACTGCAGCCACGCTGTCCGTTGCTCTCCACGTTGGTCTTGAAGAACAACAGTCACCGGAGAGTTCTGTGTTTTCTGGTTTCTACTTGATGAAGGACGAGCGATTCCATCCTCCCGAGTCATCTGGCGACTGCTGTTCTTCTCTCAATGGCTTTAACTTCGGCTTCTCTGGAGCTCTCGTCTTCATTTTACATAAGCTTTGTTTTCTTTTTCTTTAAAATAAAAAACAACAACATAGAGTCATTATTGCAAGTGTCCTTTAGTATACGTCTCATACTAAATGGCTTCATTGATATTGTACATATGATGTACTTTTTGTGTTATTATTAAATGGTAGATTTCATATTTTGTACAAACTGTGTACAGAATCCAGAGGTTCTGAGCAGCTGCAGCAGCAGACGGCTGTACGCGGCTCAGAGTTCAGCACACGGAACTGTTTAGAACCCGCCTAGAGCTCGGATAGTTTTTTATCTTTGTAATCAGACATCTTCTTTTGTTTTCCACCTCCAGACGTGTGTCGGTCCTACATACATGAGCTTTGTGTGTGTGTGCTTTTATCCAAACCTCCAGTGGTGTACATCTATCTATATACAGCAAATAAAGAGAACATGTGAGTTTTATATTTTCATCCTAAAAAACAAACTGCTTCTGAGTTCTTATTGATCGCTGTCAGTCTGTTTGGTGTTGTTGTGGGACGGAGCTGTTTGCAGCTGGACGGTGGTTTTATGGGTTTTTAGTCAGATTAGAGACTTTTTATTGAACTAATGGGTTCATTCTGCTGATATTACTTCAGCTAATAACAAACCTGATCAAACACTGCTAATGATGGGACTAATGAGGCTTTGTTTACGTCTTCACCAACATTCAGAGTTTTTTATATTGTTTTTGCAATTTTTCTTTTAAAAAAGAAATTACATCTTTTAAACTTTTCCAAGTGATTAATTAGGAACAAATTAAGTAAATCAGTAACAGCTGATGCAGTCTCAGTTACTGCTCAATTTCAAGTCATGGATGAAACCAACGAGCTTAGTGAACTTCTTCTTCTCCTTCTTCTCCTTCTTCTTCTTCTCCTTCTTCTTCTCCTTCTTCTCCTTCTTCTTCGTCTCCTTCTTCTTCTCCTCCTCCTCTCCTTCTTCTTCTCCTCCTTCTCTTTCTCCTCCTGGAGGATGTGTGAGGCAGCAGCTAGAAGTCCTTTTTCCTCTGTGCTGATGGTAACAGAAAGCAGAAGTCCTGTCAGTGATTTGAAGTCCAGTTTCCTCATGTGGAAGCTGAAACAAACCTTAAATCAGTTTAGCAAATCCGTTTATTAAACTGAATTAATGTCTCAAACTGTTGTTTTGGACGTGGAAACATGATGATCAGAGTCACATAAACAAAATGTTGTTCAGTCAGATGGAAGAGGAGCAGCAGAGATGATGGAGTTGAACTGTTCGTGTCTGTTGAAGCGCCGTCGTGGTGAAACTCCTGGATGCTGTTTGTGTTTCTACATGAAGACTTATCCCCAGTGATAAGTCTGATCACAGTGAGCTGTACGTTCAGGCTGATGGAGGGTTTTATTTATTCATAAGCCTCTTTTCACTGTGATTATTTTTAATTTTAACCTCTGCCTGTGTTTTAATTCAGACCTTTACCAGAAAACACTGAACTGATTGGATCACGCTGCAGATTCCGACTTGGGAAATCCACTTTGACTGACTGTGCAGCGCCAACCTGAAATAATGGATTCATTTTTATCCTTTTAAGACAATTAAGGTTTTTAATTTACTTCCAGCTGCTCTTGTTCCAGTGAATTCACTGCTCTATTTATTCTTCATGGTTTGTTTCCTTTTGATTATTTATTACTAATTTCATCCCAGTTTTCTTCTGTTTGCATATCTACAACTTCAGCTTTTCATGTTTGTGTTCAGCCTTTACCAGAACGTAGCTCCAAAAATATATTTCTAAAAAACATTATAAAAACGTAACACCGTGAACTTCTGCTTCAAGCTCACGTAAAGATTATATCATGTGTTTATTATTCATCACTGACATGTAGCTGGAACTTCCAGAGAGGGACCAAGTTTTTAAAAATAAATAAAAAAGTTGAACAAACAGACAGTGAAATAAAAACGGTCCTGTGCTGCCACCTGCTGGACAAACAGCAGCACACATCCAGCACCTGCCGTTAAAAAGCCGTCCGCTGTTTAAAAAGTTCAACAACTTTGTGTAGTTTATAGTTAAAACTGGATTATTAAATATGCAGTTGTTAAGAAATCAGCGGATGTTCAGACTTCCTGATTTCATTAGTATATAATAAATAAAATCACACATTCTGTGTTTTATGATCTGAACAACTGTTTACGTCTTTTATTTTTTAAACTTTTTTTGGCCTCATGTCTAGTTTATCTGCTTCATCGCTTAAATTAATTCCAAAATATAAATAAACGTATACTATATAATATAAACGTTATAATTAGACTCATTTTGACCTCGTTCTGCTGAAATCAGGATGATCCAGGTTTATTGATCACTTGTATCTAATATTCTGAACCACACATATTAAAGCACGTCTGTGTGTAACTGAACTCAGCCTTCATGTGGTATCATGTGTGTCTGTGTTCATACATGTGACAAAGAAGCAGAACATGTGTGTTCTGCATCGTCCTGTTAAACCAACGACAGGTTTGTCTGAGTGGCAGCGACTCGTTAGTAGCAGCACTAATTAGCTTTCAGTGTTTTCCTGCTGCAAGAGTTCATTGATGGAGCAAAGCAGTCGTATCATAAGTTTCATATTATAGATCA